CTCAACACCTGTCAGTGGTGTCCCCTACGAACCCCCAGCTCTCAATGTAGAGTCTGCAGAGCCGAGATTGAGTAGCACCTCATCAACTTTGAGCTGAGTTATCTCCCCCTCCGTCAAAGATATGCTTTCGATAAAATACAGACGACCAAGACGATGATAATAATGCTGGGAACGAGGAGAGATAATGCGGTACCAAACGCTACAACGGTAGTCAGAGAGGCCCTCGTTATATCACAACATGTGCTACCCACCGGCAGGCAAACAAAAAGCCCACGTAAGCAAAGTAAAAGAACCTATCGCCTTCAAGAAAAGCAGATTTCGACTCGTCTACATTATCGTTCCTTCTAACCATCAATTTTGAATATACTAGCAAGAAGAGCTTCCGGAACACATGAGTTACTCGACGACCCCATGTCAGTAACGACTTTTGGATGCCAGGCTAGGCTCCTTCGCGGCAGTCACTCTCGACCGAGAGTTTTCTGACATCCTTTCACGATCTTCGGTTTGTCCTGCGGCATGACTCGTGGGAGGAGTGTGGATAAGGCCAAGAAATGTAAGAGACGCTCTTAGGTATACACAGGTCTGCTACGCCCGGCTAGCCGGCCTCTTCGTCATAGGAAAGTCCCGGACCCAGTGGTTTTTGAGATTTTCCCTGCAGCTACACACCCGCAAATGGCCGTCGCTTTGCTGGTTGAAGAGGGGAGGTAATGACGGGATAAAGTCTCCTCTTAGTGTGTACTCGGATGAAGAAATGTGGGTGTATTACTGCTGGAAAGAAGTCATGAAGGAGGCACAGGAGGGAGTACACAACCCGAGGCATAGATACTCCCGGCCTGTAAACAGAAAGGCCCCACATGTTCTTTCATAGTCATAGACTTTTTAGGACAATAAACACAAAGAGAAACAAACATTTACACGAGAAATCTCCCATAGCAAAATAAAAACGTAAACTATATGCCATCTGGCATTTTACCTTGACCACCCAGCGTGCGAGCCTCGATATATGTCCTGCCTATTATGAATTATTTATCTTTGTGTGTATCTATGCACTGTTACATAACTGCACCCCTGCGCCACTCATTGAAGGGATCCACACTCATGCCCGACGGCAGATCTGCACTCTCATGGAAACCAGTTGAGCAATTCACACGACGCTACCCTATTGCCACAGTAGGAAGTTTGCTATGGGGCTATAGCAGGGGTTTATCGGGTTCATAAGGCCTACCTAGACATAAATACCTTCCACATTAGGTTGACTCCCGTATTTGTGCAAAAGTTGGTGAGGCAATTTTCTTCCAGCCTGGTAAGTTTGCAGCGGGTCTTTCCTTTACACTAAGCCTAATTGATATGATGATCGGTTGCATAACATTTGCGCATTTTGCTACTTCACTGTATGACTTATTTACAAAAGTTCAAAGGTCTTCGAATTACAAATTACAATCCCACCATCTTAGCTCGGCCTTGGATCTGGGCATGAGGCTGGAGTATTCTCAGGTCTTAATATCTGGTTGGTCCCCCATCCGCATTTGTAATAGCCTGATATTTTGCTGGTCTACTCTCAATGAGTCACATGATCTTCGGGAGATACTGGATCTCATGCCTCCTTTACGATCTCGCGAATACTATCTTGGGTACGCTGCCTTCTGCAACCCTGATTCGGATGATGACGCTAGATGTAATCCTTCATCCTATCTCGAATAGCTTTAATCAGGTTAAGATCAGGCGAGTTGGGCGGCCAGAAAATCGGTTGAGTAAGCCTCTGCCATCGATGAGAGGAACTATTCTCCCGCAATATTTAAGAGAGTCGAAAGACCTACACTCCTTCTCCCAAAACATCCAGCCAGCCTTGTTCTTCGTTTTTTCTGCAACACAATCAGCATTCTATTCTTGGAAAGTTTAGCCCACAATGTCAGGGCATCAAATTAATTTGTTTTTAAAGAGGAACGTACAAACACATTTTATGAGACATTTTCTATAATTTTTTCCATCCTCTACCCAAGTTTCGTCTGTCCGTAAAACTGACGTTCAGTGTTCAAGTGTCCAATTGAGATGAGCTTCAGCCCATTCTCAGCGTTTCTTCATAGTTTTTTGAGATGCTGGAAGTTTTTGATTAGCCACATGTCGTCTATATCCTCTTTTCTCAAGTTCCTTTTGTATTGCCCACTCGCTGACACCAATACATCTAAAGGGGCCAGAGGCTAATTCTAGAAATGATTTGCGGCGGTTTTCAGACGTGTTGTAATTAAGGGAGTAACATGACTGCATTACAATAAACTTTTCACTTTAGAATAATGTGCACATGCGCCATGGGATATGATTGACCTAGATCATCACTTATTGGTATGACATAGTATTTCCCAATAGATTTCTAATGTTATCTATTGGCGCTAGGATCTCTCACGTACTCCCTTTCTCGATTGGACAAGAAGGTATATTGGAACATCCACTAGTTTGCAGAATCCACCTTATTCATGTCTTTAGAGGAAGGTCCTGTCACCTAGATGACATAAGCATTTTATACAATAGGAAATTTAAAAAATCTCCACAATATTCACAAACTTGAGAATACTCGGAGATATCCACAATTTCGTACATTGATCCAAGTACGAAGAGTATAACTCACGAACTTCACTTCTGTGAAAGCCATAGCTACCTCCTTCCATACCTTCATCGTAACGGCTCGTCATTCTAGCTCAGCATAGCCTTTCAACAAGGTGAAGAATCAGCGCAAGATATAATCTAATACCATCTGCTTTCAGGCTTGAGGATGTTCTTTTTCTCTTTTTGGGGGAGATAGTTCCGCGGCGCAGTGAATAACTAACTTGTCCCCGAGAAACGCCTAGTTTCGCGGCAATCTGCGTCTGGTTTTTACCAGATTCATGGAGCCCATAAATCTAAAATTTATTTTAACTTCAGTTCGTTCGTTTTAATTTTTCTAGTTACTAAAATGGTTTGATCTCTGGATAATTGTTTGATTCGAGGTGTTGAAGGTGGGGTTTGAGGTAGATTCATCTGCAAAATAAGGTTATTATCGGCTAAAGCCATTTGTCTGCTGAATTAACAAGTTTGTATTTAAAAATTCCAATTCTTATTATCCGTCAGGCACATTACGAAAATAGCTGTGTAGATTTCCAGCGGCCGATGGTTAGAGAAGCGATGGAAAAGAACTAAAGAACAGCTTGGCTTTGGATGAAACTGACCGTGACAAGCAACCAACTTGGGCCCTTAGTCGCGGTCTTGAAATCCAAGACAAAATTATATACCCTGTCGAATTAGGCGCTAACAGGGGTATTTCTCCTGAAGCGAATATGCGCCCCAATTAACTCCACTTCAAACCTCGACCCGTGGCCGAAGGGTAGATTCGCTAGATCTTCCGTCGAGCCGTGAGCCTGTCAATCTTTAAAGGGGGAAGCTTCAATTACAATTGCACATTGTTGGCGGAGGAACTCGAAAGCCTAAGTGCATGTACATGCACTTAGGCCGCGCGTGCGCTCGTCCCTGCCTGATATTGTACCTGTCATTAGGGTGCAAGCACACGGGACCCGTTATGCTAAGCCCTGCAGCATTCACACTCCTCATTCCCGACTGCATACCCATGTTACGTATCCATGGCATGCCCGCTTATGCATAAATGGCCGGGGTAGAGCGCTAGCTCAACATTCCTTACATCGACGGACCCGTTATTATCACACTATTAATCGTGCAATACACGTTTCAAGCTCCGCTGAGGACTAAAATGAATTTTCACTCGACAACCCAGTTTCGGCACAAATAAGAACTGAAGTCATAGCTGCCTCGAGTTTGAATAGAAGTTGGTAACAAGCAACGAGTTGGATTCGTACCCCGTAATTGTTGTTCAAACAAATATGATCATCACATTGTTCGTCCTACAATTTTAAATGAACTTTCCGTTAATTCCACAGCACGTCAATTGACGTGCAAAAAGCAATTAGTATCTCATTCGCATTGCGTTGTATTCTTTTTTAATGTATATACACAATAACCAATCCTGGCTAATTTTATGAATAAGTTAGCTTAATGTCGTCACACGTCATTCAACGCGCATGGCTTAAGAACCAATGCATGTGAAGTTTGGTCGAGTACAGATGGAGTTTGGAAATTCTGAAGTGAGCCCTATTTATTTATAGCCAAAATTGGTTAGATTTCCTCCCTTTCTACTCTGTTCTGTATCATAGATGTATCGTTTTAGATTCATTCATTAGGAATCTTTGCACTATCTATTTAGAAAGGCTTTAAAATTTAGTGAACTCAAAACAAGAATTAACCATGCCTATGCTAAAGCTGTGATGTAAAACAAACGTCCCCCCGCTAAGCTAAAATGATTGGTATCTCGATAAAGCGAATTAAAAATTTATGCAAGAGAACACGAAATGTACTTGTTCCACTCCGTTTTTCTCACAGGTAATGTATAAGCGTATTTCTCATGAATCTGAAAATTGAAGAAGTTTGCTGATTGAGTGGTACAAACTGTTGCCAAACTAAGACGTTTTCTTTAATTTCCCCAACTACACAAGTGTTTGTGATGGAAATCGAAAGAGGTTGGGCGTTATTAGGTAAAAACTGATTAACTGACGATTGTAGGCATTATTCTACACCTTTTTCTCAAATATTATTCTTATATTAAATTGACTGCTTTCGGGTTGATTTGAACTAAATGATACGATGAATTGTTAGCTTTTACTAATGTTCGACTTTTTAGATCCCTGCGGCTAGTGTTTTTCTTTACCTCTGACATTGAAGTGAGGCAAGGAATTATTTACCTTTATTTGTTGCCAAGCGACGAGAGGTAGGTCAGGATTGTAAGTGGGATAAAGGCTTCGTCTACACTTAGCTACGGGGTGATAGACGTGTTGGGCTAGCGATCGTAACGGTCGGAATCCCGCCAACTTCCATTTTCCCCGTAAGTTCAGCGACACGTGCCTTAATTCGAGCGACACGAGTTTCAATTGCTTAGTCCAAGTCAGTTGCAAATCGGTATATCAAGGATGAAAGGACGTGCACTCATCTCCGCTGGTATCTTTATCTTCTATATCTTTTTGAAAACTTTGATCTTCTTTAGGTTGTAGATCAGTTTGTCGTTGAGAAGCCCGTTCAGCAGCATTTTTTCGAATCTGTGCCCACCTATCAATCGGAGGTGATCTATGCTTATGACTTGTGTCTTCTTTATAATCTTGCGGAGAAAAGGGTAGAGATACGTTACGGAGATTATCGATAGGAGATCCATCTTTAGAAACTCTAACGGAGCTATCGTCAGGCGGACCTTCTTGGTCAAAATTAGAGAATGCTTCTTGGGCTTCTTGTGCTTCATGGGTATTGACTCGTGATATACTATCCTGCGCTGTCGAAGTTCGAGCTTCGAGATTATCATGCTGATTGGATACGACTGAAGACCTCTTACCGCTCACAGGTACAGCTTCGGAGGGACTTAACCGTGTATCACCCTTCTCGCTCGGAGTGAAGGATCGCCTTCGGATCCCGGAGAGTTTCCGAACAAGAGAAGAGCCTACTCGGGTCTTTCTTTCCAAAGCTTCGCGGCCATTCGTTGCTTGTGGGGGATGATCAGAACCCTTCACATTTTGGGTCTTATTTCGACCAAACAATTTTTTAAACCCAGCACTCGAGCTATTTCTTCTTAAAGAGGTTGGAGTTTGAGGACTAGATGGTTCCATGTCCACAGATGACCGAGTTGTCATGATATCTGCAACATTTTTCCGAGCTGGCAGAGAATTCCCCAAACTTACACTTTCAGAAATATTTTGGGCCGCTTCGATCCGAGGCCGCAGTATATTATCTTTCATTGAGGCAGGAGAATTAGGAACTGGGATCTTAGTAGGTGTAGTTGAGGAAGATATTTTGTTATTTGTAACGTCTCCCGAGATATTTTCATGTTGTAAACCTTTTGTTGAGTCCATCTGTTCTCCGTTTCCGCGACCTGTACTTGAGCTTTTTAAATAATTTCCTTTGATAGCCTCCTTATCATACTTACTTGCCCATCTCATCGCTGGTGAAACTTCACTCAAAACTACTGGCTGGAGGGTCATAGTACTAGATGTCTTTGTTGCAGTGGTCTGATCCATCCCTCTACTTTGCATATCAGGCTGCCTTGCATCATCTCTTTGCTGTTGTTGGAGCTTAGCAGCTGCTGCTTGTATTCGCACGTGAGGTTCAGACCCAATACTTGAATTGCTAAATGTTGAATGGGGTGTTGTAGGAAATATCGGCGAGCGAGAGCTGGAGGCATCTGGTGGCTGACGAACGGATAGCTTTCGCCAATTAAGGTCTTTTCCTCTTTTAGATCGTCCCCAAAAATGCTTTTTTTCAGAAACGTTTATATCTTCGTGCGGAGATTGAGCGGCCCCTCTGACCTTTTCTTCAAGTACAAACCAGATACTACCAAAAATAACTGTCTCAATTAAGGCGCATCTTCCGAAAGCAGCTTTCCTTTCAGGTCGCTCCTCTACAGCCAAGCTACAGATCCAAGCCCACCAAAAGGCATGATCAAGATTAAACTTTGCGATGCTGGCTAATTCACCGGGTTCTAGCTGTGATAATTCGTTCCGGTCTCGTGAGCTAGAGCTTGGTGTCCGAACCTCAATTGGGGGTAAACTTATACCTGGTGGTAAGAGAAGCGCAGATGGTGCACTTGCTTCCTGATCAGCAAATCCAGAAGACAAGAAGTCAGCCCATGATGGAGTTGTTGGTCTTCCTATCATTGGATTTTTTGGTGTTAATATTGTCCTAGGCCTGTGACGTTGTCGCTTTAGAGTACCTATTTCGTCGTATTCATCATCTTCTTCATTATTGTAGTCTTCGCCGAAGCCTAAATCTTGGAATCTGGACCACGATGCGTCGTTCAAGCCTGCGGATACTTTCGACCGGGAGACTTGTAATTGATTTGCAGAGGAGATAGACTTCAGGACACGACGGCATTCGTCAGCCAAAGACTTTACGGGATCCTCGTATTCAGCTAGCTTTTTTAGTTCTTTATCTTCATCACGGTACTGAAAGTGGCTTGCTCTGCGGAGCAAAGCGAATGGTGTGGGCGAAACTGTATCAACGACCATCGAAATCTTGAAAATTTTGGTCTGCATGTTTGCGGGGTATTTCGGGGGATATTCAGTTTCCAAAACAAGTTTTTGCAGGGATGTCGGAAGGTTTGTCATACCACTCAATCCTTTTGCTTGGTCCGGCGATAGTGATCGAAGATAAGCAAAAAATAAGTGGCTCGTCGCATTCGCTGCACTAAACGAAATTAGTAAGACTCACTGATTTACTTTGACGTGTCTCACGCAATCCATTCCTTATAACCTTCTTCAAATCCGGATTTGTTATCTGCTTGTTCAAAAGCCCACCAGCCAGCTAGTCGCGATAATTTTCGTCCACTTAATCCATTCACTTTACTATGTGCGGCGATAGCGGAAAGAAGATCAAAAAAGTCAAAAATAATTTGTTGACGAACATCTGAATCTACGCTGATTGGTATAAAAGTGGCGAATGAATTACGAGCCATGTTGGAGTCTGTCAGTGTTGAGCACATTATTCAAGTTTATCACGTCCAACTTACCTATTTCACCGACCCTGAAGAGTTCGTATGCTTCCCAACCTACTACGCCACCAGGTAGTCTGCACCAACACCATTTAAGTACACTGCAAAGAACCTTGAAGCGTTAGACAAGATCATCGCTAAAATGTGATCTTAACACACCATGGGTTCAGTCAGTCGTAATTCTTGGGCCAGATACTCGCCCCGAAGATTTTTCTCGAAATGATGTCGTATGAAGGTACGCGCGGCGCTGGGGTCTGAGGTAGGTCGGAAAGGTAAGAGTAGAAAAGGAATATCCAAACCTGGTGAACAGTATTAGCAATCTGGATTGAAAGATTAAAGCATAGTTTTATCCATGTTTGGGCTTAGGTTTTAAATGAGAGGAATTTGTCTGAGAGACTCTATAGATCTTACCTCGCGCCTTAATCTCTGCGACACAACCTCGAAGAAGCTCTTGAACTTCATTCGGCGCGACTGACTTGCGCAACCATGCGTCTTCCCATTGTGGCTTTGCTGCGGCTTCTGTAACTTGCGGGTATTTTTCTTTGTGTTTAGCGAGCCCATCACGCCCCTTCAGTTTAGAAAAAAAGCTCGGCATAACTTTTGGTTCAAGATGGGTACTCCTGGAAGATACACAGCATCCGCAATGGTAATTCCCCCCAGTATGAGGGAGTTGCCTATAGATGGACTATTAGAAGCGATATATGGATGGGCGTGAGGCTAAGCGCAGTAGGAGGCCTTGAGTAGATAAAAAAATTGGTTGGAGCGGATAAATGATAAAGATGAACTGCAGTACCAATAAATAGATGATGTCTTGCTCGCGACTAGTTTGCCGGAATTAAAAAGCCACAAGCTTTATCTCTTCAATCATGAGATACTGGGTTCTATGTGATATTCGAGAGTCCAGTGAAATCTACCTTAGCCCGATGGGCACTGTAAGATACTATGTGATTGTTGTAGTTCAGCGAATGGACAGCTAGAATTGATAGAAATATTGGTTGAAAATGTAATGGAGAAAGTGTGTGAGTATGTTCTACTGGTTCGAATAGGGGACTTAATGATAGTTTGATCGGGATTTGACTTATTTACGATAATTTGAAGTGACGATCTGAATAGTTCAAGGCGAATGAATAGTAGGTAGGGGAAAGGTGGCGAAGGGGAGAGCACGAGTTATGAAGTGAGTTGTGTATGATACATACTTGTACAAAACGATAAAGCTAAATGATGATTGGAATACAAATTCTGTGGCAATCCCGGTAGAAGCGGTACGCACGCCCAATTGCCCGGGGTAGGGTATAGAGAAGAAAGTGGGAAGAGGATAGGGAATAAAATAACAAAACAAATCCTTTAACTGCGACTGCAATCAATCGTCGAACCCCTTCAGCATCCCAAGGCGTTAGCAGATCCGCACATAACTGCATACTCTGATTGCAGTTTCGTCATATTCTTCCCAACTTATGTATAGGCTTTTCCCATCACATGATGAGCTTCAGTCCTGCTATGCTTAAGCCTATCTGTATCAGACACCCACCAGAAAGGGTCTCAAGCTTCATAAAATTTAATTTGCGACAGGGAGTCAATTTATCTTGCCTTTTTTTCGTGAATAATTTTGGACTGCAACGTAATTACATTTACATCATATTCTTAAATTGAAGATGAATAAATAACAATAAATTTACGACCGCGTGAATCGAATTCCATTTACACCTCAAACGGGTGTGGCAACACCCAAACAAAGTTCTAGATTAAGCCATGGTTGCCACGTACCAGCAATGAATACAGTCAGCTGATTTCCGCCATCTTTCCCTCTAGTCAACGTTGTAATTCGTGCGACGTAGCCCAATTCGATTGTAGGATATGAACTAATCCAACAATAATTACAGTGGTGTTATTTGTTAGGCCACTTTGTTGGCGATTGTGAATAGTATCCACGAGAAATGGTGTGATTAATTCACTTTCACCAAATTAATTTTCCGTATTTATCAAAGTCTGAGCTGATGAGCAGAGCATTAAAAAGCTCTATTCGACGGTGTGTACTCCTGAACTATTGCTTGAGCAGCGCTCTCGTGATCCCTTCAACGCTGAGTTAAACGCCGCATTTTCGAATTTCCCATATTTTATGACTAACATTTAGCACCTTATCAGAAGATTGCTTTTGATAGGGAAACTAAAAAGTAAGAGGGGTAATCACCTTCTCCGTGTTAGGCTCGTCTGCTGTGGGCGAGCCACTTGACTCTGCTTTCTGGACAATTTTATCAAGTATCTCTTCTGAAGCAATGAGTTGCGTTGCTATTTCCCTTTCCATGTTTTCGGGACATGCCTCCTTCTTTTCCTCCAAAGGTTCTTTGTTCTCTGGCCGAACTTTACTCAAATCCCAATCAATCTCGGCACCAGCACCATAGCGACTGACCAGCCATTCGTTTGCTTTTCGAAAGTGCCCGCACTCAAACCAACCTCGGGATGCGCTTAAAGGACTTGGGTGAACACTCATTAATACTTTGTGTCTTTCCTTATCCACCTTTCCGACTCGTTTACCGGCAGGCGTACCCCACGCGAGGAACACAACACCACCCGTTCGCTTTCTCGCCACAATATCAATGACACGTTGTGTCAAGGCTTCCCAGCCGCGGTTGGAGTGAGAGTTTGCTTCGTGAGCTCGCACTGTTAGACATGTATTGAGCATGAGAACGCCCTGGCGTGCCCAAGGGGTAAGTTGTCCAGTATTATTAGGGGGTGGCTTAAAAGTCTGTGGATAATCATTTTTAAGTGCTTGGAAGATATTGCGAAGAGATGGCGGTGGTGGGGTGGGTGGATTGACGCTAAAAGAGAGACCATGAGCCTGTGAGGTGTTGTGGTACGGATCTTGACCGAGAATCACGGCTTTGACTTTATTCAGCGGCGTATATCGGGACCTATTTATCCACCAGAATGGTATGTTAGTTGGTTAAGTAGCGATGAATAGTACATGTGGCTCTCATTGAAGAGTTCTTAAACTAGGGCGGAAGAGAGAAGGAATAAAGTACGTACCAAGAGTAAATGTCACTTTCAGGCGGAAATATTACCTTTCCATTGGCCTTTTCCTTTTCTAGAAAGCGCTTTAGTTCTAGAAATGATGGCTTCAAAAGATCGTCCTTCAATTCTTTTAACCAACTCTCGTGCAGTGTATCAATCTCCAGCTTTAAAAGCTTTTTCTGATCAGCCGTAAGGCTTGATACCCATACATCCTTGTTGAAGGTCTTTGTGGGCGATGAAGTCAGTAAAGGGTCGTATGTGCTGCTCTCGGGACTCTCTGTTTTCTTAGATATGGGATTTGGGCTTCGAAAGAAGGCAGTTATGGAACAATTAGCTTTTGGTTTCTTCGCGTCATTAGACACGGTTGTGTCAGCTTTCCGCTTTAGTGACATAGGTAAAGTAATTCGATAGATTGGTAATGCGAATGTCCTCCGTTTAACTGTCTTGTTGTGCAAATTACGCGTCTCTCACTTTTGTACTGCTAAGCTGTAATCGGATGCCCCTGCTAGCTTGAACACGCCAAGAATGGTTGATGAATATACCAATATTCGTAAAGTATTTGCAGACTCAGTAAACTTGACTGGTCGACCTTGCATGAATTCACCTCTCTGAATTACGTAGACCCTGGTCATCTGTATCGACAAGTGAAGCTGCATAATTTTCTCGTGCGCTACTAGCCACTAGCACCCTGAATGAACCAATGAATTATTCATTTATTCTGATCTGGCACTATTGGGCCTATGCAATTTTTTTCGAAAGATCTCTATTTCATGTGTGATGGCTTAGTCTGACGTTTGGAACACTCACACTTGGATTTCATTTGCAAATACCACTCAAAAAAAATCAGAGTGTGATTACGTCACCACACAAATACCATATCACCGCGAGATAATGTGGTGTGTGGCTCTCACTGGATTCCGACCAGCTTTCTCCTGTCCTACATGGGGAAGACGTTCAAGCTACTCAGAATCAACTTCGGTGAATAGCCAGCAAAGACGAATTCTTCACCCTCCAGTGGTGCAGGTGTAATCGCTCAGTATGCTCTGCATATCTGGGATAGCCAAGAAGAATCGCACCCGGATCAAAGTTGAAAGCAACCTCAAGCACATCTAAAATCGACGACTTCTCGTCCATGTCCGACCTACCATTCTCATGCGGGTCCTCCACCTCAATCTCACCACACCACACCACCTCGCCTCAAATCGTAATAGCGTATTTACCTCATCAAAAATCGGCCATCTCCCACTACAAAATTACGATGCTATGTATACTCGTGAGGAGGAATTTAAGTCACAATCTACAAAGCTCGGGACTAAAGTCTAGGTAGCCTGGGTACCTGTTGTGATCTAGGAGTAGCGCAGAATTGTTTATGCAGGTATGCATAAACAATATGCTATAGCATTTAATAAGGATGTTATTGTAGACTGCTGCACAAACAGGAATAGCCGCGCTATGATTGGTGGGATGAGTATTTTGTGAACCTGCAAGGGTCATCGGAGAGTAATTTAGGTGTGGTCCGCAGTAGGTTGCGTCGAGAGCACTCAACCGGAGGGCAAGACTGAACACCTGTACGCGGTGTCCTCTACGAACCTGGGAGTGAAATATTCTCCCAGAGCCAAGTTCAGTCAAATTTCGCAATATCAAAGAAGTTGGCCCACGAGGCAAAAATCCAAATTACTCATCCACTTCGTTATTTCGCTCCCAACGAGTTTGACCCCTATCTTCGTCTCATCGAGTCTACAAGTACGACCAAGTACATCCTCATTCCAATGACCACACCACTCTTCGACCTTCTCTGGCCTCAGCTGGTCACCAAATACACGCCCACGCCGATATTTATACCCGCCGGAGGATGCAAGGCGTGGCGCACAAATCTGGGAGACAGTTCTATGGGATGGATGTGAGAGGGATCTGGACAAGTTGACAAGATGATGCGAAGGACGGATATAACCTCGAAGGGCATGAGATTCCGAATTTTGGCAAGGAGTTTTACGAATTAAGCTTTGTGCGCGCCAAGACTTCGCTTGCGAGAGTGCAGTTGACACTATAAAAACAAGCAAACGATGGAAGGTGTTGTGGTCCGCCTCCTGGTGGTGTTCTCTAGTATGGTTTGAGTAGCCTGGGCACCTACTCCACTTGGGAAGGAGACACCTCAGATCACATATCGCGCGGAGAAAAGTTGAAAGATGATGGAGGCATGTCTGGATATCTCAGGGTTTTTGAGACGTTCCCCTGGGTGGGTATTCACGGATGAGGGTTGACTTGGGGTGAAGAAAAAGCCACCATAACTTCGCAGTGGTACTTGCAAATGAAATCTGAGGCATGAGTGCTCTTCCTTAACGATGAATCATCTATTCTGTACTTTTCTTTGATATTGTGTCATAGCTAGATAGCTGCATATGCAATTAAAATCTGATGCAAAAAAAAAAAAAAAAAAAAGAGAGCACTCAACCATCTCCTGTCTCTACATCTTTCTATCTTCTAGCACATAATAAAGTGCGAAGCATCATTACTAGTATCTATATCCTGGTTTCGATAGTTTTATACCCTTTGGAAACACGACACCGAGACCACGACCACGCGCTGTCACTTTTGTGAGAAAAGGACTCCAAGCGGCTCAGATCTCACCCTCGTCATCAAGCCAGTCATCAGACTACTGTTTTGTGCAGGTGTGTGGACTGACATTTGTAAATGTCTACCGTGCTCCAGGCCATAGTGAGACTTTGGAACCATTACTAAGCTGGCAGCCAAGTGGACCCTCAGTAGTAGGGGGTGACTTCAACTCAGTCTCACAGTATTGGCAGCCATTAACAGTTCGCCAATACGGAAATGGTGATCTCATCATGGGGTGGGCCCGCAGAAACAACATGCAGCTACTAAACACCTTAGGAAAAAGTACTCATCGCAATGGAAACGTGCTGGATTTAACCTGGAGTAATACGACGGCAGTTGCATCGGTATCAGCACGGTTCGACTGTACATCAGACCACTCCACCATTGAAGGCTCGGTTGACACACCTGGATGCTCGCAGCTATCCGGGATCCCGAGGCTAATCCGCGTAAGAGACGGTGACCTAGACGAGTTTGCTCGATGCGTAAGGCAATGGGTAAGGCACGGCCCCCTCAGCAGTCAAACCGAGATTGAAGACTTCACAAAGAGCTTAATCAAAGTACTTCAAGACGCGATCAAAGTTGTCGGTCGAACACCCGCGGTGGGAAGGGGAAAAACAGCGCCTTGGTGGACTGATGAATGTAAAAGACGTCAGTTTGACTACAGGACAGCCAAAAGGACATCTGGAGATATAGTAGTGACACGTAGGACTTTTCGAGCCGCAGTGAAGAGAGCCAAACGTGAATACTGGACAAAGCAAGTTGAGGCAGCAGAGACAGAAGCAAAAGTGTTCAAACTTATGCGATGGGCCAAACCGAAGCCGACGAAACAGCCTCCTCCTCTCCGGGTATCACCAAACGAGTGGCTTTCAGATCCACTAGAGCGGACAGTTGCGTTGCGAGATTCTCTTCTTGCAAGGTATAACGCGAGAAACGACATCGATACGTGGGAGAACAGTCAACCAGAGTTGATTCCATGGGATGGAGAGGTGTCACTGGAGGATGTCACAGCATCAACCATTGGCAGCAAAGAAACAGCTCCGGGGTTCGACAAGATTACCGTACGACTTCTCAAAGCCTGCTGGAGCACGATTGGAACATACGTCAGGGACCTCTTCCAGGCTTGTCTCAACTTGCAATATTTCCCTACACCTTTCAAGGTGTCGGAAGTTGTGCTACTTCCAAAAATTGGACGCGACCTCTCCAACTCAAAAGGATGGCGCCCCATATCGCTACTCTCCAGCTTAGGCAAAGGATTGGAAAGGCTCATAGCTAAAAGGATGTCCTGGCTTGCATTAAAACACAAGGCAGTACCTCCACAACTATTCGGCGCGCTACCAGGACGCTCAGCAGTCGACTTGGCATCATGTGTTATACACGATGCAGAAGCTACAATGAGATCCAACAAAGTCACAGCTATGGTCACGCTGGACATACAAGGTGCCTTCGATGCAGTGCTACACAATCGGCTGCTCGCACGAATGCGAAGTCAGGGCTAGCCAGTACTACTCTGTCGCCTGGTAGAATCATTTCTGAAACAACGGAAAGTTTTGGTGAGACACGAAAAAGGTGTAACTGATGAGAAGCTTGTTGAGTGCGGAGTTCCCCAAGGATCACCACTATCGCCACTTTTATTTATGTTATACATCTCAATCCTACTTGAAGATGGAACCTCAAACTGTATATTCGGATATGCAGATGACATTGCCATTGTTCGCGTCGGTAAAAATCCTAGTGAGGCTGTTGAGGCTGCCCAGGTAGAAGTAGACAGGATAATCCAACGCGCTTCAACGCACATGATAAGGTTCGACCCTTCTAAGTCCGAGCTCCTGGTTATAGGAGGAGGACCGAAGAAGAAACTAGACTCATCCAACCTCGCGGTCAGGGTTGAGGGACAGCTTATTACGCCTTCCGCGTACATTCGATGGCTCGGGGTCTGGCTCGATTCCCAACTGACGTTTAGACAACATGTTCAAGAATGATGTAATAAGGCACAACGACTATCTCACTTTATACGAAGTATTAATAGGGTCCAACGAGGTGCGGCTCCGGGACCATTAATCCGTGCAGTGAACGCATGTGTAGTCAGTACGGCAATTTATGGCGCTGAAGCTTGGTGGCCTGGACTCACCCGTATCACGACGGTACGAGATAAAAGAGTAAGTACGGGTGTCGGATGGCACCTCAAGTTACTAGATAGAACTATTTTGACTGCTGTTCGAGCCGCACTGCCAGTGTGGCGAACTACACCAAATATAGTTCTGCACCGTGAGTCAGGGATACTACCGGCAGAAATTATGCTACAGCAGCGACAGCTCCGAAATGCAGCCAGAATCCGCAGACTCGACAGCTATCACCCTTTGTCATCAAGGGCAGCTGAGACACCAAAGGAAGCAATTAAGCGACTCAAACTGAGAGAGGGGCAAAAAGATCGTGTCTTCAAGTTTCCAGAGCGATATCTGACACGCCTTCAGAATGGTAACCTTAACCTACCGGCATCAGAAGGGCCTGGACAGCTTTACCAACCGATGATCGCGAGGGCTATGGCTAGAGCCAAATGCGACGAGGAAAAGTCGAAGCGGACTAATCATTGGCTTAGAAATCTCCCTGTAGGGACGCTGTGTGTATATTCTGATGGGTCATTGACTGGTCTAGCATACTCAGCCTATGGCTATGCTATATACAGGGACAGAGAACTCATAGCGAGTGGTGGAAATTTTCTCCCAGGAGCAGAGGTCTTTGATGCAGAAATCGTCGGGGCAGTTCGAGGCCTAGAAGCGGC